CCAAACTAGAGGTTAAGACAGTGCTACTCAAAATGTTCCCATAACCACATAAAAATCACAAGAATCGTTAATGTATTTTTTTTTTTTTTTTTAGTTTTTCTCCAGTACTGGGAATCAAACTCACAACCTTGCACTTGCCAGGCAGGCGCTGTGCCGCTCAGCTAAATCCCCAGCCCCAAGAATAGTTAATGTACATAATTTCTATAATTCCAAATTAAATTTCTCAGAATCTATTTTCTATAATCCTGAATTATACTTCAATTATTTAATTTCAGAATTTTTATTGTTTAGCTATGTCACATAATACTGAGATATATATCCTTTCACAATAAAGAATAACCCTTAGCCCACACCTAAAAGCAAATCAAAGAACTACTGAAAGGAAAGATATAACAGAAAATGTTAGAAAGTAAGCTAACAAAAATAAATAGACAATAGAAATCAGTCAACTGAAGCTATTTATTGCAAAGGTTCAGGTATATTTTACTCCTTTCTTTAGGATGACAACCAAACTTAGTTTAAGAAGCCAAATAGCTGGGCGTGGTGGTACAGCCCTGTTATCTCAGCAGTCAGGAGGCTGAGGCAGGAGGATCTTAGGAGTTCGAGTCCAGCCAGGGCTACAAAGTGAGCTCAAGGCCAGCCTGAACTATATAGTGAAACCCTGTCTCAAAAAAGACCAAACCCGCCCCCCCCAAAAGAAACAAAAAGGAGAAGCCAAATAAACACCTGTTTATTAATCCAAAAGAGTGGCAGCCACTTTTCTAATATTATCAGTCTAATTTTAATTTCTAATACTAACATGTAAGACTGATAAAAATTAGGAGAACTGGCTCAATAATTTATAGGACATTACCTTTTTAAAAAATTCATTTTATTTTCAAGACAGTATTAAGAATATTCTTTTTGATTCCAGCACCTTAAAGAAATTTTTTGATATTATTTTGTTATCATCTCATATTCTTAAGAGCAATAAAGATTAGTTTTTAATAATTCAACAATAGTGTCAATGCAAAGTAGTTTAATGTTTTTTCTTTTCTTTGGAAACAGAATCTCACTATCTTGTCCAGACTGGCCTCCAACTCCGAAGTACAAGAGATCCTTCCATCTCTGAGTAGCTCGGGCTAGGTTTATTCCCACCACTCCATCCAGCTTCAAAGTACCTTAAGCTATTATGGCATTTCAATCAGACAAAAAGTTACAGTCTTCTAAATAACGAAAATTCAAATTTCAAATCCTTCTGCGTTAGCTATCTGATAGTTCACATGCTGATCTCTTTCCCCACCCATTTTGATTAATTCTATGCACTGACTCTTATTACTTTCCTAGAATAGTTTCATTCATCAAATAGTGATACGAATTTTCTCCAAGAATCAAAGATATTTTTAAAAATAGTTGGAACAAAGCAAGTGGGGAACTGCTATAAGAAAAGCATCACTGAACTCAACATAAAAGAGTACCTCAGTTTTGGAAAATAGACATGGCTTCTTAGAGTGAACATTGTACTTACTTCCAACCAGTAGCAAGCTAAAGAAGCTTAGTATATAATACCTGGGTGGTATTTCCTCATATGCTAGGGTAACTTTATTCCAAATAAATTATTTTAATCCAGACTAACAAAAAAATGAAATGATTATGTTAAAAAGTAAAAATGGTTACATTTCCTGGCCTATAATTTCAAATAGCATTTCAGTGCTCCCTTCAGCAGCACATATACTAGGTAGCATTTCAGATCTTTCATTAATAAAGTTGGAATATAAAACAAAATGATACAGTAAAAAAGAAAAGTCTACAACTAGAGATGTAAAGATATATCAAAACCACTGCAAGATGTATAGGATTACACGTAATCCTTATGCAGAATTACTCTTAAGTTTTTTTGTTGTCATTCAAATTCAAGTATTATGACAATAAACAAGAAAGTAATTATTATATCTAAGGGATCTGAGCAACAGCAATACATTTTAAAAGGAAAAAGAGATCAATTAATGGAAAAATACTAGATTCAGCCTTAAAACGTGTGAGATCCAGTTGGACACAGATTACACACTTGTAATCTTACCAACTCTGGGAACTCAGGCAAGAGAATGGTAAAATCTATGCCAACCTGGGCAATCCTGTTTCAAAATAAAATATGAAAAGGTCTGTGGATACAGCTCAGTGGTAGAGCACCCCTTGATTCAATCCCCAGCATAAAAAAACCCAGCAAAACACATCTGAGGTCCAGTTTAAGTTCAGTCGTTTACAGAACTGGCTAACAATCTAATATAAAATTAAATTTAAAGTAAAATTTGTTCTTTATGATCAAATGATTGCAAATATTTTAATGCATTCAAAAACTAGACATTATCACATTAGTCACTATATATTAACATTTTAAAAGTTCTTAAATTAATATATGCTGACATCTAAAAAGGATGATGAAGAGGATTAGATAAAGACAAACTATTTTTACATACATCTTGAAGAACAGCAGAAGTTATTTAGGAAGAATATATTTTAATTAAATTAATGCCTCCTATTAGCTCTAAATTTGATTAACCTGCAAGGAGCCAGTTAGCTAATAACAGTACAATTGAGGACCTACCATGTGTAAGGTGCAATGCTATGTGCTATTTTGCACTCATTATAAAACTATCACATAAATAAAACCTGTGAAAGATAACTATTCAATTGATACTGTACCTAGGCTAGAAAGAATACATGACATGGATAAGTGAAAAATTTAACATGATAATAGTAGAAATGGAAAATATAGAAATATTATATACAGCAATGTTAAAATCTAAAACTATGCATTAAAATGCTTTTAGTACTATGAGAAAAATGTACATTACTGTGGATTCTTTAAAAAAAACAGGGAGTTGCAGATGCGATTCAGTGATTACTTGTCTAACATATGCAAGGCCCTGGGTTCAATTTCCAGCACTGTGGGAAAAGAAAATCAACATTCTCTTCCCATAATAATAAATACAATGGTTTCACCTGCCCGGTAGAGGAGAAAGAAACTCAACTATTGTTTAAGTTCCATGGAACGCTGGTGGCATGCTTCATCAAATCTCTTAAACCACAGAAGGCTCAAGATGCAGCATGTATATGTACCAATATCCTGTGATTAATATATTCATTATGTTGTGTAAACATATACTAAAAAAAAGTTTTTTTTTTTAAAAAAAAAACACATGTTACATTGGAGTCAGGAAATGTATATGGTCTCGTAAGTAACCAAATATTTTTCAAAGGTCCATTAGAAATGAATCACTGGAAATGATCAGAAAATAAATATCACAAAAAAGATTGACAAAACGCTAAGTTAGGAATGAGGTTTTATTAGATACAGGAAGGATAAGATCAGCATTTCCTAATATGATTTTTAAAAATATATACATATTGTAGCTGTGCAAAAAAAGATGCTTAGCTTAATGGTTACTTATTAGCCAATATCCAGATTTTCCCTAAAAAGTAGCCCCTACCAACTGAGTTCTTTGCCAGGTGTGGTGGTATCTGGAGGCTGAGACAGGAGGATTCCAAACTCAAGCTCAATCTGGGCAATTTAGTGATTTATGGAGACCCTGTCTCAAAAGAAAATACAAAAATAGAGCTATGCCTGCAGCTCACTGTGAAGGCCCTGGGCTCAATCCATAGACCACACACACAAATATTCACTTGATATGCTTTTGTATTTTTGAAAGCATACTTAAACAAATGCCAGCATATTTAAATTTGAAATTTCCAAAAATATGGTCATATTATCCCATAGCATTTATTGCTCTGAATAAGTGAAGTGAAATGCTTATTACTTATTGATGTTAAAAAAACCAAAATTACTCTTTTAATTTCCTCAAGGACAACAAAAATCCTTCAGATCTTTGTTATTTGAAAACTGTAGATTTAACACTCAGTACAGGAACATGGCAAAAGTATCTGACTCTGAGTAGCACATGGGAACTTTTCCTGTATTAAAAATGGACTTGCCTTGATTTATACATACTCACAGAATGTTCTCCTCAGAAACACTGATATGCATGCAGAGAAAGCCTAACCAGAGGGAAAAATAGCTGTTGACTAGAAATAGACAAAAGCGAACTTGTAATTCTTGAATCATCACACTAGTGGAATCAATCAATATGGTTCTTTTTTTTTTTGTACCAGGAATCAAACTCAGGACCTCGCGTTTGCCAGGCAGGCACTTGTGCCGCCGAGCTATATCCCTGGCCCAAATCAATCAATATGTAATTCAGTTCAATTTAAGGAATTTATATATATTCCCAATAATTCAGAATCTGATAAGAAACAAAGTATACTTGTGCTTGGAAAAATGTTTACTAAATACTGCTACCGTGAGCTAAAATAAATGTCAACAACTCAATTAGTTATTATGATTCAACACACAAGAATAAAGAATACTTAAATATATATAGTGTCTATCTAAGCATGAGGAACGATCAAAACATATGGTGAATGGTCACATTTAAAAAGAATTTATTACAGTAAAAGACATATTGCCCTTAACCACATACAAATCCAAGTATTTAAACACAGATAACCAAAAACTGCATGTGTTTTCATTGATTCAGGAAGTATAAAAATGATAGTGAGGACATAGTAATGTTTCCATTTGACGGCACTCAGCAGCAGCACTCACCTTATTTTTTGCCATACATTGTAATGACACTCAAGAAAGAGGACTTCCAGAACTACTTCAGAAAGTGGCAAGAAAGATGGGGTATGTTCAAAGTAAGGGGAGTATTTGGATGGAAATTAATGGCAATGTGTCTTTTAGTATAATAATTTTTATTGAAACATTCACCAAATGTTTTGCTTTACATGTAATTTTACATTTCATTTTTTTAGTATTTTCTATTGTCTTACAGTATTCTCTTGAAACAGATCTCCCCCACTGTTTCCTTGAAAATTCATATACTTTATTTGATAATCTTTAATTGATCTGATTTAATGATTATAAAATTTGCCTAATCAAATCTTACTACTGAAAAGAATACCTGTTCTTCTGTTCCTGCTTCAATAATTGAGCAGCTATTTTCCTCAAATCAGTTACTTCCTTCAAATCATCATCATCTTCTTCTCTAAGTAACTGTTCTTTCTCGAGTCTGAAAGTTGACACAAGCATGGTTATCCAAAACAGAAAGACAGACTATTTTATGTCAGCTTTTAGAAAGAGAAACCATTTTTGTTTTCTACACCAGGTAAAAGCTAAAATCTCTGGTATTTAAAATAGCAAAATAAAAAGCAAAGAATATTGAAGGAAAACACATCTACACTGTCTATTCAATATAAATGTGGCATACTAATCATATGAATATAATCGATGGCTAACAAGTAATGGTTAAGCATATAACCATTTTAAAAGTTATGAAATAATGTAATGGACATACTAATTTAACAATGCAGTTTTGAGTGTAATGAGGACTACAAAGCTCAAAATGGCCCACTTTTATAAATAAATAAAAACTGTTATGAACATTTCTCATTTTATTAAGTCACAATGCTTTTATCAATTCATTCATTTTGAGCTTAAAAACGTAGGCAAAATGTTTAAAGGAAATAAAAAATACGTTCAAATAGGATTTTTAGCCAGGCGTGGTGTCACATGCCTGTAAACCCAGCACTCAGGAGGCTGAGGCAGGAGGATTGTCAAAAGTTCAAGGCTAGCCTGGGCTACAAAGTAAGCTCAAGGCCAGCCTGAACTGCATAGTGAGACCCTGATCTCAAAAAGACAAAAAAAAAAAAAAAAAAAATATAAGATTTTTAGATTTGCTAGAAATGCTAATTAAAATGTCATTTTTATTATTTAAAGAAAAAAATTTTAAAGTAAATTATTCTCTAAACTCTAGTTGTTTTATCTCAAAAAGACTTTCATTCAATAAATAACACTGTGGGGTATGGTGACACACTCTTATAATCGCAGCACTTGAGAGCCTGAGGCTGAAGCATTGCAAGTTCAAGTTCTTCCTGAGCAACTTAATGAGATCCTGTCTCAAAATAAAAATTAAGGGGCTGGGGATTTAGCTCAGCGGCAAAGCGCCTGCCTGACAAGCACAAGGTCGTGAGTTCGGTTCCCGGTACCGGAGAAAAATTAAAAAAAAAAAATTAAAAGGGCTGGGGATGTAGTTCAGTGGTAGAGATCCCCTGGGTTTGATTCTCAGTACTATAAGAAAAGAAATCAAGCCATAAGCCTTTACATCTTTATAACATCTTCCATGATACTGATGATTCAAATTTAGATAACTCTTCTCACTAGATAAGGTGACAAAACAATAGAAGAATGAAATGTGTAAGATGGGCTGGTGGTGTAGTTCAGTGGTACAAGGCTAGCCTCATGTGCTTGAGGCCCAAGGCTCTAAGTTCAATCCCTAATGCCCTCACCAAAAAGAAAAAGAAAAGAAAAAAGTTACTAATGAAGTCAGTTAAATGAATGAACTATGACGTAGAGAAAAAAGTATGGGGGTCAGAGAGAGCTTGGTTCATGCCCTAGGTACTAGCAGACATTAACTAAGAGGGTTTAGGTAAAAAATATAGTCTCTGAACTTCACTTTCCTCACTTGAAAAATGGGGTCAATATCAACCGTGCGGGGTTTTAGTGACTGAAATGAGAAACATGGGAAAGCACACAGCACTGATCCTGGTATATAGTAGATATTCAACAAATTTTCCTTCCTTCTTTCTTGCAGCTATGCAGCAACCTAAAGGAAGAACTGAAAACAATGCGGTAGGTCATACGCCAATATTTCATAAGGAGGAGGATTCAAAACTGATCACTATCACAATTATTTTAATAAAATATGGAAAAACTGCCATAAGCAGTGCGACAAAATGCAAAGTACATCAGATGAGGAGAGAGAACACCTGAGTTGCAGACATTTGAAACTGCAGGTTTGTTTCCCCACACCATCAATACAATCTACCTTATGGGCTTGTTGAAGAGCTCGAAGGAAGCAATGCATGTGAAGGTATAGTCCTCAGTATTAAAACAGACATTTTTATTAAACCTCAGAGGGAAAAATAATGTATATCCTACACTTAAATGCTTATTATGATTTTTGGTTTAATTAAGGAATTCAAACAGATGAACTATTTGCAAATTAATTAAACCTAACAGAAATGCGCAAAAAAACCTTACTCTTTCAAGTCAGAATATGTAATGAATAGTTCAAGTATTTAAAAGTAACAGTTCATTTTGAAAATTCATATGTGCCTACCTTTTTTCATTTCTTAGTTCTTCATTTTTCTGAGATTTTTCAGAGCACTTTTCTTTTCCCTTATATAAAAGAAAATTATTATTTTAAATTTTATGGTCTAAGACCAAGGAAAACATGTTATGAACACTTGTTCACAGTTTTATTTACCTTAAGGAAAGAGACGAATGGTCCCATATGTGTATTGCCTTGTTCAGGAACAGTGACATCTTCTGCGTTGGGGTCAGTGAAATCATATACCTCTTGGTCTAAGTACAAATTAGTATTTATTTGAAAATAGATTAGTAAATGCTCTGACACTGCACTGCTTAGAATGAAAGTTTATTTTCTCAATAGAACAGTTAAAGACACTATAATTTTACAGCACCCATTTTTGATAAGGGCTATCTGTATGAAATAAAAATAGCAGACACCACATAAATTACCTTTCTGAGAATCAGGCTTGCTTCCTATTGTGTGACTGTCATTTCTTGATATCTGCTCTCTATTTGACTCCGATACTTGAGAGTGAAGGCTGATTGTATCATCATCTGATGGCTAAAAGGAACAAGCACAAAGTATAAACAATACATCCTCTTAATTAAATATATTATAAAAATCTGCTTTATTTCACCAGTTTTCAAGCCAAAAGTTCAAATGTTAAAGTTGACTGTTCTGTTCTTAAAATTGAGTATGTACTTTTTTCATTTGAAGTCACAAAATATAACAGTGATCACAGTTTCAAACAAAATAAAGTCAAATTATGCAAGTGACTCTATTTCAAAGCTCTAATAAAATTATACAATAAAGTATTTATAGAAAAGACTCACTTCTGTTGTAGATAATCGTTTCTCTCCATTATCACTTCCAATTCCAGAGTCAGGGCCATGATTTTTATTTGGATAAAAATCTTCAATACTATGGAAAAAGGAATCCTCAGGACAGTTAGGATCTTGCTCTTAAAAAATTAATTCACACTTGACCTAAAATTTCACTGGATAATACAGAACATATTTTTCCAATGTCTAAGATCTTTAAGGACTTGAGGAACATTAGAAATCTTCCTACAAAATATTTTATTCATGTTCCTCATGCAGCAGTTTTTCTATCAGATACTCTGTTACAAAGTATCAATTGTTAACAATAACTTATTTCTTCTGAGAGAGTCAGAAAAGCAGGCTGCCCTCCTCAAAAGTTATGCCAATGAAAGGCCTACTTTTCTCATTAGTTTGGCAAACTTCATCACCAGCTTTTGAAATATTTTTTAATTTTATACTGTTTCCTCTTCATTAGCTCTAAAAACATGCTTTTAGTTATGTAAATAATACCCATCATATAATCAAGAAGAGAAAATGTAGGGAGGAAAAAGTATGCAATGCCTCAAATGAAAGATGTTTGGGTATGTGACTATAGCTATCTTTATAAATATCTGAATAACGAAATATGACACTCAGATTGCAAAATATTTTTCTCTTTAATTTGCAACTATACCACACACTCTACAATGGCTTCTTAGCAGTGTGCCTAGTGTTTTAAAGATAATACCTTTTATATTTCTTGTTAAAACTTGCAGATGGTATGTTTTCTCATTTTAAAAATGCAACAGTGGCAAAGATGAAGCAACTTGCTCAAGGACACACAGCTTGCAAAAACCAGTGTAAATGTGATCCCAGATTAAAGTCCCTGATCTTAATCACTGTGCTATAATTCTTCCCCTAAAGACAGTTTCATGCTGAAAAACTGATTTTTGTCCTTTTCAGGAGTATGTAAGGAAGCATCTACCAAATATCAGGCAGTATGTTGAATGTGCAAGGAGTTCACAAGATAGACAAGGCATAGCAGGGCATTCTAGGCAGATTCATACAGCCAAGGACCTGCGTATGGAAGCACAAAGCACATACAAGAATTTTCTAAGTGGTTTAATACAGGTCATAAGTGTACTGTCATACCCAGCAAACAACTTTGTATATCTGTACTGTACACTGGGTAGCCGCTAACCACATATGGCTACTTAACACCTGAAACATGGACAGTCCAAACTGAAACATGATAAATATAAAACACACGTCAGATTTCAAACATTTAGTACCCTGAAAAGCATGTAAAATATCTCACTAATTTTTGTGTTAATTGCATGTTAAAATGATAATATCTTGTTATACTGAGTTAAATAACATGCATTATTAAAATCAACTTACTGTTTATTTTTACTCTCTGTAAAATAGACTACTAAAGGTCAGGTGTGGTGGTGCACACCTATAACCCCAGCATTCAGGAGGCGAGGCAGGAGAATCACTCAGTTTGAGGCCAGCCTGGGCTAAAAGTGAATTCAAGGCCAGCCCAAAATGCATTGTGAAATCCTGTCTCAAAAGTAAAAAAAATGGAGGGCTACAGAAAAAATGAAAATTATATATTTAGCTCACACTGTATTTCTATTAGATAGCACTGATAGAAACTATCTCCAAAATGTATCTCAATTCTTTCCACTTTCTTCTCTATTGCAATAACCCTGTTTAAAGATCACATGCTCTCTGGGCAATACTGCAATAACCTAACTGGTCCCTGTGCATCTACTTTTTTGCTTATTTCCAACTTATCTTCTTAAAGCCAAATCATTTTGTTTTAAAACACATAGCACTTTCTTATCAGTACGGTCACAAGTCTTCACAGGGCAGGGAGCAGGTCCTGACAGCAGGGAAGAGGCTCCTACTTGCCAGCAACAGGAGGGTTCCACAGCACCATGATGACCGAGTCCCCACACAGGAACACCTTGGAGCTGTAGCGGTCCTTGTTGACTGGAGTGGACTTCTTCTTGCCCTTGCCGCTCTTGCAGAGCTCTGTCCCCATCTCCTTCACATTCTCCAGCACCATGTTGCAGTGCCCAGCAAAGGCCTAGGAGTTTCTTGTTCTTGCGGCAGTTGATCAGCACTTGGGTATTGCTCTTGACTGACCAGGTCAGCACAGAGAGGTGACCTACGTTAAATTCCTCTCCCTCCCACTTCTGCAGCTCCTCTGAGGTCATCTCACTCTTGGGCTTGTTGAGGAGGTTCATGGTGGCAGCTGCGACCTCTGGTTACTCTCCCAAATCATTTAACATAAATCAGGTTATGCTATTCTCCTACTTAAAACTGTCCAAAGATTTCCTATTGCATTTTAAATGAAATTGAAACTTTTGCAAGGGCATGGTGACACATGCCTGCAATCCCAGCACGTAGGAGGCTGAGGGAGGGAGACTGCAGTTTGAGGTCAGCCTGGGCTACACAGTAAGACCCTGTCTCAATGTCCCCCCCGAAAAAACTCAAGCTTCTGACCACAGACCACAAAGCCGCCACATGACCTGAGCCTTAAATCTCTCTCTAAAGGCAACTTGTTCCTATACGCCCTTCAGTCCCTCTGCTCCAAGTATGCTGCTCATCTCTGAACATACTAAGGTCCTTTCAACTTGCAAATATTGTAAGTCAAAGCTGCATTTAACACATCTAATGTGCCATAAATCATAGTTTAGCAATGCAATACAGTTCGCTGTACACTAGTGATAGTTCACCCTTGCTACTAAGTGGCTGACTGGGAGCTGCAGATCACTGCTGCTACCCATCAGAGGCGGGGGGAGGGGGGAATGAATACGAATGATACTGCCTATCACCTACCCAGGATGGTTTCTACTGAATGTCTATCACTTAAGCACCATCATAAAGTAAAACACTACTAAACTGAGCCTTCAAAAATTGGGGCCCAGCTATACAAGTGTGTGTATGCATGCTATGGTTTGAATATGTTCCCAGAGTTCATGTGTTGGAAACTTAATTCCTCATGCAAAATGTTGGGAGGTGGGCCCTAATGGGAGGTTATTTAGATCGTAAGAGGTCTGCTCTAATGAACGGATTAATGCTGTTATTTCAGGAGTGGGTTCATTATTCTGGGAGTAAATCTGTTCTAAGAGCCTTCAGTCCCTCTTAACCTCTTTCCTTCCCTTGCTCATGTGATGAGTTCTCTCACACTGTGATACAGCAATAGGATCCTCACAGTAAGCCAATAAGTAGCAGTGGTATCTTGGACTTCCCAGCATCCAGAACCACGAGCCAAATAAACTTCTACTGTTCCTAAATCACCACCTCAGATACTTGGTTCTAGAAACACAAAATGAACTAAGTCTCTCTCCCTCTCTCATTCTCCCTCCTTCCCGCCCTCCCTCTCTCTCTTTCTCAACTCCACCAGAGCCAAGATCAGTGTGTGTGTACAGCATTCAACAAAACGTGCCATGAATCTACCAGCAAGTACTCAACAGATATTTGTAAAACAAATAACTAAAACAATGAATGCCGTTACTAAAGTAAATTGACTTCAAAGTAAGTATAAATCAAATTAATAGAGATTAAAATAGGCATTAATTCTAATTTTCACAGAAATCCTTGGATTACTACTACTTGTAATATTAACAAAATAACCTTTAGGAACTAAATCTCAGATTTAATTATTGATTCTATTCAAACAAGAAAAACAGTCAAGAAAAAAGCCCCATTTGGGAATGCGAGAACTAGTACCGTTAACAGGATGCCTTCCTTAGTACTTACAAGACACATATGCACTACAAGTCTTATGTACAACATGGTGACGATAGTTAATAACTAGTAATAGTATGTAACAGGATAGTACTTGCTATACTGCCACTCAAAGTAATCTATAGCACATATGCAAGGGCAAACCTTTACATATTTTAGGCAGGGGTGTATTCTTTCATTATGTAGTCTGATCTTATTCCAAGTTATTTCTATACATCAGCATGGAATTATATCTTCATGAAGTTTTTCAGACCAATCTATATCTTGAAAGGTTGAATTAGAAAGAATGCTGAATCTAGTATTTCAAAATCTCATGAGGAAAACACCAAAATCATGAAGAACATTGTTATGGCTTAGATTTGGGGTGACCTCCAAAAGCCTCATGTGCTTGGAAGGTGACTGGATCAGGGGGCCCTACACTCCTCAATCCACGGATGAGTTCAAAGCTGAGTGTTCGGAGGTGGAGCCAGGTTCATTTTATGACTGTGATGTTTAGCATCGGCCAATTAGTGATTTTAGCACTGGAGCATTCAGCCTAAATGTATTCACTACTGTATACTCAAGATTAATAAATATCTTTCATAGAAAGAGAAAGCAACAATTATCAAAAGAGACTGTAAGAGTACTACTTTACCTGTCTGTGAGTGGCTGAGAGGGCATTCTCTTGCTCAGTGATGGAAGATCCAGAGAATCTGGTTTCTTATCCATTCTACAACATGCTTGGATATTTAAGTACTTAAATATATGCACTTTACCCTTCAAGCATATCTGTTAATAAGTAATGAAATAGATTTAGTTAATGTTTCTACATACAAATAGCACTCATCAAGTTATTTATGTATTTTAATAATCTGAAATTATGTTAAAACATCACCATTCTGATTGATACTTTGCATATAAAATAAGTTGTACTTTTAACACTAGTTGGAAAAACCTGACAAAACGGACAACAACCAAAATTCTACTTCCATCTCTTCTTATTGGAAGCAGTTAATTTTCCTATATATCACTCAAGTTTTCTTGAACCATGAAACTCATGACAGTTGCCTTTATTTAGAAAAATGAAATATACTATTCATTGGATTGGTAAGAATAGAACAAATACGTAATTCTTTAAAATAATCTCACCATGATGTCTGGTATAAACACTGGATGAAGGCTAACAATAAAGATAATGTAAATACCTGGAAAATAAATTTCTTGAAAGGTATAACAGTAGGCCAGTTACAAAAAAATAATAAAAGAAAACATTAGACAAGTCAACGAAGATAATACCATAGAGAAACTATTTTCATTGAAAGAAAGGAATGAAAGGGGGAAAACAGTGTGAGAATAAGGCACTTTGAGCTGGACCAGGTGGCACAAGCCTGTAATCCCAGCACTTGAGAGGTTCAGACAGAAAGATCCCAAGTTCAGGCCCAGCTTGAGCTATTTAGTGACTTAGCAAGACTCTGTATTAAAACAAAATATTAAAAAAGAAAGAGCTGGGGCTATAGCTCATTGCAAAAGCCCTAGGTTCAATCCTCGGACTGAGAAAAGGAAAGTATACATTCTGTATAGAAAAAGGTAGGAGGGTCAAGGATACAGCTCAGAAGCAGAGCACCTGCCTAGCAAGTGTGAGGTCCTGAGTTCAAGTGTGATACCCCCCCCCAAAAAAAGGTGGGAAATGAGAGTAAATGAAGTCAGCTTCACAAAGATTAATTACAAACACTAAGTGATATCTAATAAGTATTTCTCAAAATTTTACATAAAAATGTTCTATTTTATGAAAGCAAAAAACTTCACTTGCATGTAAAAATAACAAGGATAACACTAAAACAACTACATTAAAACCAATTATAATCTCAATTAAAAAGGCAGAATGCTTTTAGATAATTCTAGTGGAAAAAGCCCAAAGAAGGGAGGAGATGATAAAGATTAGGGCAGAAATTAATGCAATTGAGACAAAGAAAACGCTCCAAAAAATAAATGAATCAAAGAGCTGGTTCTTTGAAAGAATAAATAAAATTGATAAACCCCTAGCCAACCTTCTCAAGAA